ATGCCTGACTTTCTGGTCCACAAGAGGTTCAATGATGATGATAAACAGCATATTCATCAGTAGAACAAGAATCAGAGGGGGTTTATATCAATCAGAAGACTAGTTCAGCTTCTGAAATATTGACAGGATAGCAATTCCTAGTGATGAGGTCTTAGAAGAGCTGAAGTAGAGAGCTGATGTTAGTTGCTGAGGTTGAGGTGAAAGCAATGAGGCCCTTGGCGCTCTCCCTCCAGGGAGCACACATGTACTATTCCCTTGCCCCTCTCCTTCCCCCACAGGTGTGCATCTCCTAACCTCTGAGGGACCCCAGAAGACTTGCAACTAGGGGAGCAATGGGCAGTGGCAGCCAGGCTAAGCCCCTGAACCTGTCTCCAGCGCCCCTTTTCCTCTGACTTCTCAGTGAGCCAAAGCAGCCCAGCCAGGGCTCTCCTGTTGCTTCTTCTATGCTCTTCCTTGTTTCACTGTCCTAAGTATATTTTTGCTTTGGCCAATAAATTCTTGCTGGCTTTTCTAAAAAAGATAAAAATTAAAAAATAATGAGGCCTTTGCCCTGGCTGGTGAGGCTCTGTTGGTCGGAGTGTTGTCCAGGACACCGAAAGGTCTCAGATTTGATTCCCAGTCAGGGCACATGCCTAGGGTTCAATCTCTAGTATGCTGCATATGGGAGACAACCAATCGATATTTCTCTCTCTCCCTCCCTTCCTTTCTCTCTCTCTCTCTCTCTCGAATCAATAGAAACATGTCCTCAGGTAAGGATTTTTTTAAAAATCTATTAAAGTTAAAAAATTTTAAAGAATAAAAAGAATAATCAGGCCTAGAATTTTAATTGGCCAAAATAAAAATCAATGAAGATGAAGTCTTTAACAAGGGCTCTGTTCTCTTCATAACATCTTTGCTTGTGGCTAAGTTCAAGAAAGGGTTATATAATTAGGTGATTTGATGTCATAAGAGAAGAGTTTATTTACTGACAGTGATATTTAAGAACTCTCAGTTTAGAAGGCTGAAATTCCTATCCATGCAAGGTTAATTCCTAGATGTATGCCCTTGAACTAACAAGTTACTTAACTTCTGTAGACATTTGTATCAACAAGAGTAACTCATTCAGAAGGTTATTGTAACTACTTGAGATAATACATGTAAAGCATTAAACAGTGCTTGGCACATGATAGTGAATAAGATTTGCTACTTTTGCTATCAATGGTCAAGAAGTGGCACAAGGGTACAAGTCATATGCCAAATGTCTAAGGAAACACAGATTTTAGTTAACGTGATGCATCAGAAGGTGTTCTTGTACAGTATATAAGAATATGTTCCTGCCCGGCTGGTGTGGCTCCTGCATCGACCCAGGAACCAGGAGATTACCTGTTCCATTCCTTGTCAGGACACATGCCTGGGTTGCAGCTCAATCCCCAGTGGGGATCGTACAGGAGGTGGCCAATCAATGTTTCTCTCTCATCAATGTCTCTTTCTCTCTCTCTATCCCTCTCTTTCCTCTCTCTCTAAAAATCAATAAAAACGTATTTTTAAAAAAGAATATGCTCCCAAAGGAACAGATATTCAAAGTAGTATAACAAAAATATTATCCTAAAAATTTTCAAACTTAAATAATGCATCTTCCGCATTATGCTAAGCCAGTCAATGAAGGAAAAATACCACATGATCTCACTCATTCATGGATAATAGAGACCATTATAAACTTTTGAACAATAATAGATACAGAGGCAGAGCTGCCTCAAACAGACTGTCAAACTGCAGCGGGAAGGCTGGGGAGGGTTGGGGGACAGGAGGGCGGGGGGTAAGAGATCAACCTAAGGACTTGTATGCATGCATATAAGCATAACCAATGGACATAAGACACTGGGGGATAGGGGAGGCTAGGGGACTGTCAAGGCCGGGGGGGAAAAAAGGACACGTATGTAATACCCTTTGTAATACTTTAAGCAATAAAAAAAAAAAGAATCTGGGGGAAAAAAAATAATGCATCTTCCTTTAAGTAAGTCACACACATTAATGTGTAGAAATAGTAGTACAGTTAGAAAACAGCTAAAATCAAGCTGGTAGAAAGTCAGTCTACACAATACAAAGGAGATACTGATGAGTAAAGAAGCTAGTTGGAGCCCTAGCTGGTGTAGCTAAGTAGTTAGAGCGTCAGGCCTCGAACCGAAGGGTCGCTGGTTTGATTCCCGTTCAAGTGCGCATACCTGGGTTATAAGTTCATTCCCCTGGCTGGTTGGGGGCACATTCCAGAGCAACCAATTGATGTGTCTCTCTCCAAAAAAAAAAAGTTACTAAACTAAGGTTGGAGACTTATTTTATAAAGGCTTTCACTTTTGAGTCGTTATTTCATTATTTTAAATTTTTATTTATTGCTATTGGTGGGGCGGAGAGAAACTATAGAGGGCCTGTGTGTGCAGATTTTTAAAAATCTGTATAAAACTAAATTTACTTACCTTCTAAGGTAAAATACAAAATTTACTTTTATTAAATGGCGATCGAATAGTAATATATGTAGTTTAATATTGCTTATTTTTTATTTCCTTTTTGATACTTTAAATATTAAGAGGTACTATTAACTGGCAACTTTCAGGTCTCATTTTTTTAATGTAGTAAATAATTATATGGAGCGTTATAGCACCACCATCCATATGATATAAACATCTTAAACATACAATGGAGACAAATAACCCACAGAATTCAGAACACTAAATGTGTTGCTATTTGAACATGGTTCTTTTCTTAATGTCTCTAGGCTCCAAAGTTGCAGGTAGATTTTTTTTTAAGACTCCAATTCAAAAAACTTAACAGTTTTGTACTAAACTATTAACAAAAACATTTAAAACAATTACTGAGGTGTTTTTAAACAATCATCACAAAAAGAACTACTTAAAATTTATCATAAATCTCTATTCATAGAGCATCTCTGTGTCAAAGGACCCAAGGAACAAGATCTCGTGCTGAAGCAGTCTAACCAGCATTATGGAACAGCATTCCAGTTTACAGAGACGGTTATTATAGCCTTGGGGCCCAGGCTCTTCTATCACGAATTGTAATAACTTTAAAACCCCAAAAGGTGCATCAAGAGTTCATTAAAACGTCGTTTGAACACATTATGAAACCACAAAACAAATCAAAACGGAAAGAACTGCACCTTCATGTGAAAACTGGTTGGACATTTGCTACTGTGGAAAAGTGACTAATCCATTTTTTTTTTTAAGTTTCTCTAAAGTGGGAGCCTTTTTTTTTTTTTTTTTTTTTTTGTAGCTCAGAACAGTAGCTCAAATAGCAGTTACAATAAAGTTTGGCAGGTTCAGTGAGTTTGTATCTTGTTACTGTGATTCTGTATCAGACATCTGTTCTCTTGCATCACATGGAGGAAGCCTGCCCTTCTCAAGTCAGGGAAATTCATTCTTCTGCTTAGCTTTTACTGAGAGGGAGGAAGGGGAGCTATGAAGACCTCAAGTCCTAAACTGCTGTATCTTAAATCAAAGATTAAAAAAAAAAAAAATACAAAGGCTTTTTGAGAATCCAGAGTATGAGCTTGCAGTGCGGTGCTACAACTCTCACACTTTTACAGGAAAACAATGGCAGTGTCCTCACAGATCAAGCAATTTTTCAATTAGAGAGAAACCCTGGTGTGCCAGGAAATGCAGGAATGAGGAAGAACCAAGGACTAACGGTCTAGATCCTGCTGGATAGATGCCCTAATTCACTTGCCCAGGGAGCCTCAGGTTCTTCACCTGGAAAATGAAAATGATTTTATCTCTGTGGGTCTAAACTCTAAAACCTGTCTCTCCCCAAGTCCATGCTTAGCTTCCCTAACTTGTAATGTACTGGGGAGAGGGAGGGAGGATAGGTCCGGGCCTCGATTTTGAGGACGTGTCAAGTGTTTGGGTTAATAATTGGACAGAAGTGCCACCTCCGGGGAGCACAGTTCCAAAGAAGGGGCGGTGGGGAAGCCCGCCTCGCGGGTCAAGGGTGCGTTACAACTTTGCTCGAACGACTTACCAACTGATTGGCATTCACACCACTTGTGTAAAACCATCTTGTCCGATTAAGGTGGTTATTAAACAAAAACCAGGCCCCGCTGCCCAAGGGAGCGCGCCCACCCTGGGGGTGCACCCCAGGGGAGCTAAATGCCAGCCGGCGCTGCAAGGCCGGGGTCGCAGGGGTGAGTGCGAGGTCGCCCCGGTGGCTGGGCGGACTGGTCCTCGAGCCCTAACTTACTCCAAAGGAGCGCGCCCCGGACCCAAATATCATTCCCTTTCACCCCAGGTCCTCCCACCCCTACCTACGTCCCGACAAGGGCGCTGAACGCCATTCACCTGGATTCGGGGCAAGGGTACTAGGGGGAAGGAAACACAGCGGCGCCAGACACCAGGCCCTGGGACCAGCCAAAATGTGGGGTGGTGAGCCCCGACCCAACCGCAGCGCCTCCCGTGAAAAAAGACCTCTTGGGCCGTCAGGTCGCGAGAAGTGGGCGGCCGGAGGAGGGACGGGGAAGGAGGCGCGAGGTCCTTACCCGCTGCAAGGCTGGCCGCTGCCGGCCGCTGCCGGCGGCTCCAGTACCGGAGGCCGGAGGCGGCTCCACGGAGCCATAAGGAGGCTGCCATGCTGCCCCCGCCCCGCCTCCCCGCTGTGACCTCCGCCGCTCCGGCTCGCCCACTGACTGCGAGTGTACGCGGCCAGGCGGGCGGACACCGCACCGGCGTGGACCGCGCGCGCACGCGCTCTGCAGCTCGGGGCGGGCACCCACCCGCGAGGGGAGGAGCGCAGCACCACAGCGGCACCGCCCGTCAGGACAGGTGCTGTCAATCCAGGGAGCGAACCAATCAAGATTCGCAGGTCCTCGCCCTTTGAGAACCACCAATAGGAGGCTTTTGGATACTCTCATCAGGCGCCCTGGCCCCGCCCCCAAGCTCCTCCCTCATTTGCAGACTGCGGGAGTTCCCTTGTTTACCAAAAGGCGGAGGGTGTGTGGGAGGCGGTGGCTGTCGCTCACTGACGCCTCCTGCGAGCACCTGACTCCCAGAGCTACTCCCGCAGAGAGTTGTAACTGCACGCATTGCCTTCTTGCAGCAAATAACTAAACTGTGACTCGCAGCTGCTGCTGCAATTTTTAGGTAAGAGAAGAAATTCCCAAGTTTTACAAATATGGGACCAGTCTTTAACTGCAATAATACGTGGGTCTCTTAATGCTAGCAGTAGTACTCTTAGTGTCTGTCAGTTCCTTGGGAAACCATTGACAGAAACCTACCATAAATAACATAACTTTTTAATTTATGTGAGTTCATTTAACCCAACAGCTTCTTTCATAAATTTGAAAAAGAGTAGGAAAACAAGTTGATAATATTGTTCTCTTTCAAGAGTGGCATTACTAGGAAGTTATATTCTCTATTCCAATATATATATTTCTCCAGTGTTTTAAAATTCTGCATCCATTTTGTAAGCAAAACTGAAAGTACATGAAAGTCCAGAAAATAGTGTGTATGTGTATGTGTGTCAGAGAGATTTATTCATTCTTCTGTCTGTGGTTGATGTACATATTTGAATCTCAACTCTTTGTTGATAATTGCGGGGCTTTCCATTCCCCAGACCCCATCAAAGAATTGGGAGTCAGGGACACACCAAAGCAACACTTGAATCCTTTGTAGAAGGGTAGTACAGGAGGAAGGTGAATGAGGAGTAGGGCAATAGGAACCCCAGGATGCTCACTACCGTCCCCTCCCCAATTCATTTTATTTACTCATTTGCCTAAATTGTGCTCACCCAACCTTTTAATCTAAGTAGCAGAATCAACAGATTTGACTTTCACCTTTTGCCCAGTCACTCAGGGAGTTGGAAGTGCCTAAAGAAAAAGCAAAGAAATTGGATAATTTCCATGCACACTCTCTCCTGGTTCTGGGCATGCCAGCAATGTTTCCAGGAACTGACTGGTACAAAGTGCAGGGTTCCCATTTGTAACTGATACAAAAATCAGTTTCCTTCTTTGGCTGTCTCTGCACCCTGACCCTCTACCCCATACCAACCAAAAAGAAGGAAGGAGGAAGAAAGGAAAGGAAAAAAAATCATGTCTACCGTTGAACAGTCTCCTGGCATTTTCTACCTGACCCTCTCTTCTTGTTTTATTTAGGTTTTAGCTAGAATAGACCTCCTGCAACCAATAAATGTAGCTCCCAGGACAGGTTTCTATAATTAACTGCTGAAATGCGCTTGCCTTTCAACTATGTCAACCTACATAGCAGAGCTATTTACAACGCAGGACAACATAGCAATTGATCTACCAGCTCCTAAAGTTTATATCCCAGTCCTCCTGAGATTTTATATCCAATCAGATTGTTTTTGTCATTTTTATTGTGAGCTACTGTTTTTGTTTCTCTAGGTTGTTTATAGGGCTCTTTTCTTGAAAATTAGTACTACTTTACAAAAGGTTGCCTCCTATGAACAGTGAGTGTTCTCTTAGGACTCCAAGAAGGGCTCAGAAATAGGAGCAGGCAAACCTGAAGCTGGGCATTGGGTCTTTTTAATTTGCTTTTTTTTTTTTAACTGATGTGATGGCTTTGAAAAGGAAGTGAGTGGCATTAAAAATTTGATTCATTTTGCTCAACCAGGATCAGGGCATAAGTCACAATTTCTCCGTATCCCTACACCATGTAGTTTAATATCTCCTCTCAGAAGCCCTATACTGATTTATAAATTAAGGTTCTGAGATTTTCATGGAACTTTATCAAAAGCATTATGATTTTTAAGGATTACTATTTGAAGGTGATTGCACATAGTCTTGTATTTGCAAGGGCAGTTCCTACCTATGGCTGGCTTTCTTTATTCGATTGCCTTCCTGATATCTTTGTATAAAAGGCACTGCAACTTCTCCCTAAGTCTCAGCTACTAGTTTTGTTTGAAATTGTGTTTCTGTGCATTATAGGCTCTTCAATTCTGCTTCTGGGAAGATGGGATAGGTATATTTTTCCCTATCCTTCCCAATAAATACAACTAAAACCTCTGAACATCTATAATAATAAAAGCATAATATGCTAATTAGCCCGGCGACCTTCTAGACCAGTGGTTCTCAACCTTCCTTATGCCGCGACCCTTTACTACAGTTCCTCATGTTGTGGTGACCCCCAATTTCATTGTTACAAATTGAACATAATTAAAGCATAGTGATTAATCACAAAAACAATATGTAATTATATATGTGTTTTCCGATGGTCTTAGGCGACCCCTGTGAAAGGGTCGTTCGACCCCCAAAGGGGTCGCGACCCACAGGTTGAGAACCGCTGTTCTAGACGAAGCCAGGGCTGCGAGGGAAGCCCTGGTTCCGGGTGCCAGAGGGAAGCCAGTGCCAGCAGCTAGGGGAAGGAAGGCCTACTCTTGCACGAATTTTGTGCATCAGGCCTCTAGTTATATATAAAGCAGGTGGAGAAAAGAAAGCATGCCAGCTAGGGACCTCAGGATCTAACAAGGAACAGAGTGTTAAGTTCTTGGGTTTTCATTTAGCTTTATGTTTTCTTATTGGGTATTAGAAAAGCCAAAACCCAGAAACCTGAAAATGCCAACAGGCACAGACAGAAATGTCCCAATGAAAGGCTACTCTCTCTAGCCAAAGGATGAAAAAAGAGGCAGCCTACCAAGACAGATGACTTTTAGAAAATAACCACTCCACTGTAGACAAATGCCACACAGTAAAAACCTATGGTCCTCTCCACCCCCACTGTGCTAGCAAAGGCTGAGTGAAGATTTCTAGATTTGCACACTATTCTGGCTATCTAATGAGACACCCCAACACCCTAATGCCCTAATCCCCCTACTTAACCCACCAGTGTGTGTCAGAGAAGGCCCAATAGAGAACCAGGACTGAACATTCCCACCATTGGCTGGTAACAAGGACCCCTCCACACGTGCCCCTCCCCCATCCCCAAGGTGTCACTGGAGACGTGGGGAGCCTGGACTTCCACCCCGACCTGACAGTAATGAGACACCCTTCCCTGTCCCTGCCTGGGTAGAATCAGAGGAGGGGCCAAGTGAAGAATCAGAACTTTGATCACTGCCTAGTATAAGGAGACCACCCCTCCCCACAGTGGTGCCAGTGGATGCCACATGGGGGGCAGTAATGAGGCACTCCTACCCCTGCCAGCTAGGGAGATATCAGAGGAAGCCTAGTGGGTAATTGAAACTCCCAGTCCACCAGTAATGAGGAGCCCTATTCCCATCCAGTGGTGTCAACAGAGGCCAAATAGAGAACCTAGACTTCTACTCCTGCCTGGCATTAGCAAAGATGGTGCTCTCTCTAGTCCCCTCCCTTGCCAGAGCAGTGTCTGGAAAATCCAGCTAAAATAGACAGTTTAAATAAGATCCAGAGTGTCATAATACCCAAAACGTCCATGCTTTAATAGAAAATCATTAATCTTATCAAGAACCAGAAATCTCTCTAATTGAATGGGTGGTGTGTGTGTGGGGAGGGGGAGATATGTCATTTCAAGGTGACAGAGAAGTTAAAATTACCTGACAAAGATTTTAAAGCAGGCATCACAAAATGTTTGAGCAGTTAGAACACACTTAAAACAAGTGAAAAAATAGTCTCAGCAAAGAAATTAAAAGTCTCAGAAGATATAAAGAAGAAATTAATGGAAAATTTAGAACTGAATAGGTGTCTCTTTTTGTTTGTTTTGGTATTTAAAATATTTTTTTCCTCACTTGAGGATATGCTTTTTGTTGATTTTAATGAGAGGAAGAGAGAGAGAGAGAAAGAAACATCGTTGTGAGAGAAAAACATCAATCAGCTGCTTCCTACGCACCCTGACTGGGATGGAACCCGACACCTGGGTATGTCTATGCCCTGACCAGGAATTGAACCCACTACCTTTCATTGTACAGGATGACACTCCAACCAACTGAGCCACACAGGCCAGGGTAAACAGGTGGCTTTTGAGAAGTCTACATCAGTTGCCAGTTTTCCACAAACTATTACCCTTAGCTTTAGTGATATGGGTCTCCCACCCACATTCTGTAATGTCAGGTGTATCTAGGGGGTTCCAACTCTTAACTCTATAAGAAAGAAAATCAAACCAAAAATCAAACTCACATTCAAGTCTTACACCAGTGGGTTCTGTATATTACTTTATGTGTTGAGGGTTTCTAAGACTAGTTTTAGGGATTCGCTGAAAGAACCCAGAACTGAATATAGTGAACCGGTCACTATGATATGCACTGACCACCAGGGGGCAAATGCTTAATGCAGGAGCTGCCCCCTGGTGGTCCATGCGCTCCTCCTGCAGCCCCTCCCCCTGGCCAACCTCCTACCACCCTGATTGGCTCTGATCACCAGCCAGGTGAAGGGACCCCACCTGTGCATGAATTCGTGCACCAGGCCTCTAGTATAATCATATTCATGGCTGTGATTCATTACAACAAAACGTCACAAAGCCTTGAATGTAGTAGTGGGGGCCAACTCAGACATAATATTTAGGATTTTGTAGACTTTGGGCCACACATTCACTAGCCTACCTGTCACACTGACTAGCCTCTAGGGCAGCGGTTCTCAACCTGTGGGTCACGACCCCTTTGGGGGTCAAACGACCTTTTCACAGGGGTTGCCTAAGACCATCGGAAAACACATATATAATTACATATTGTTTTTGTGATTAATCACTATGCTTTAATTATGTTCAACTTGTAACAATGAAATTGGGGGTCACCACAACATGAGGAACTGTTTTAAGGGTCGTCGCATTAGGAAGGTTGAGAACCGCTGCTCTAGAGTAGCACTGCGCAAAAGAAATACGATGCAAGCCACATGTCATTTTAAATTTTCTAGAAGCTGCATTTCAAGACAGTAAAAGAAACAAGTGAAATTAATTTTGATATTATATTTTATTTAACCCAATATATTAAAAATGTTATCATTTGCTCATACAATCAATATTAAACGCTATTAATGAGATGTTTTACATTCTTTTTTCATGCTAACTCTTTGAAACCTGGCAACTGTTTTATATTTGTAGCACGCCTTAATGCAGACAAGCCACATTTCAAGTGCTCAGTAGCCTCACATGACCAGTGGCTACCAAATTGGACAGTGTGGCTCTAGAGCAGTGATGGTGAACCTATGACACGCATGTCAGAGGTGACACGCAAACTCATTTTTTTGGTTGATTTTTCTTTGTTAAATGGCATTTAAATATATAAAATAAATACCAAAAATATAAGTCTTTGTTTTACTATGGTTGCAAATATCAAAAAATTTCTATATGTGACACGGCACCAGAGTTAAGTTAGGGTTTTCAAAATGCTGACACGCCGAGCTCAAAAGGTTCGCATCTCTGCTCTAGAGAAAGGCCAAGAGGTCACTCAGAATCCAGCCATTGCCACAACTGTCAGGCGGCTGACGACGCTGCAATGTATGCTATTCCTAGGCATTCATTTGCAATACAAACTGGTGCCTCCAATGCCATTGTCCCAAGGAAACACTTGGGCAAGGTGCCCTGATACACATTCAGTAGTTTCACACGGACAAGAGCCAGATGAGCTTAATTAAAAGGGTACAAAAACAGCTCCTCACCGTGAAGTCCTAAAGACCCCACCTAAACACACACACACACACACACACACACACACACACACACACACACACAAAACCCTAGCACTTAGCATGTTTAGAATGAAGCCCTAAGTCGCTATGGGCCCCTAGAAGTTAAGGCTGTAGTCTTAATTCTTCCAATGGTTAATTTTAGGTTTTAATGGGCTTTGAGATCAAGTCGGAAAGCTACTCCATCCCATGTAATCCATTAAAAAACCTGGATTGTCCTACAGCCTCACAAAGATCGGCAAACCTCATCCAGTGACACCAAAGGAAATCCCTACATCTGTCCATGGTTGGCAGCACTCTGGGAACACCCTGACAGTTAGTACATGGTGTGAACTGGGAGTAAAGAAGGCCTCTAGTGAAACTATAGCCAGTTACATGTCCCAGCAGACATGACCTGGATCCAGGCCTTTCTGCTATGCCAGGATGCAAACTGAGCGGGGCCGCTGGGCCCTTTCAAGAGAGCTGTTTTGACTCAGTAGGGACTCTAATAGTCCCATATGCAACATATCTTCTTTCATTCGTCAGACAAATGCAAGATACCTCTGGCTAAAAGATAAGTCAATGATCCCCAAGGAGCTATTATTGCTTTTCCTGTCCCCTAAGCCTGTTAGGGGACAATGTCATGCAACTTCATCATACACCTGCCTTTTTCTCTGGGTCCACCCCAGGGGTAATGGAGCTATTGATGAAGATAGTTTATATATCACTTCTACCTGCTCACACTTGGGCTGAAAATTCTATCATGCACCTGCAAAATGCAGGAACAGTACAGACCACCCTGCTCCTACAGAGCTCTTGGGGGGAGCCATACTTGGAACCCCTCTGTAAGGCATTTCAAATCCAGGTCTACTTCCCATTCCCACTAAATCCATGACCAAGAGTCCATGAACGGAATGTCAGAATAATTCAGATTTAGGCCATCTTCTTAAGAGGGCAGTTGCCCTTCCTCGAGCAGCCTTCACAGTCTGTTCTCGGTATTTATGAGTCTGTTTGCGTTGTGTTTGTTTATTTGTTTATATTGTTCTTTAGAGTCCACATATAAGTGAAGTCAAATGGTATTTGTCTTTCTCTGACTGACTTATTTCACTTAGCACAATACCCTACAGGTCCATTTATGTTGTCGCAAATGGTAAGATTTACTTCTTTTTTACAGCCAAGCAGTATTCCATTGTGTAAATGTACCACAGCTCTTTTATCCACTCATCTACACAAGGGCACTTGGGCTCCTTCCAAATCTTGGCTATTGTAAATAACACTACAATGAACACAGGAGTGCACATATTCTTTCCAATTAGAGGTATTGCTGGCGAACCAATATTGACTCTAAATTGGGCTGGGAGAGACAGCATGTCCATGGTAATTTTTACTTGATCCTGTTTTTGGCAATGAAAGATTCTGTTGCTCATTTGTCAGACTTATTTTTGGGGGGTGGGGAATGTTGCTTCTTTCAGTTGTTTCTCTGTAGTCAATCATTAGCGAGGGAAAATTAAACCTAATGAATTCCACTTTGGAGCTTATAATTATTGCATATTCACCATGGCAATCATCATTCTATATTCCCTCCAAACTTGACATTCTTGAAGAATATAGTTCTATTCCCCTAATGGCTATATTCTAACTAATAGGATAATCTAACAAATGATCTATTCTGTATCAAATGGGAGAGCATCCTATAAATTACATCTTTTCAAAGGTCATATCATGATTATTATTACCAGGCTTTACTCTGTTACTGCAAAGGATAAGTTAATTAGTTTTCTTTGATAATAATTTTATGAAGTAGGATCATATTGTGAAGGCAGCAGTGAAAAGGCCTTTATCATAGCATTGAGGAAAACTAGGGTGGGAATAATGGTCATTGTTGTTGCCTATAAGGCACCTAGTTCCATTTCCCTCCCCTTCCTAACAGTATCCTGATTCAGGTATCAGTATGACTCTTACATACATCAGGGGAAACTCACACCCAGCTCCAGAGAAAGATTGTTTTGAATTAAGATGATCCTATCTCCTTGGTTACAGTGATGGAGCTGGAACTCTGAGCTGATCTGCACATGCATTCCTCTGGCCACAGGGACTGCTTCAGGAGCAACATGGAAACGAGCTTGGATGAAAAAGGATGAGAAGAGACGTGCAGAACCTTCTGAGAAAGAGTTTCCCTCATTCTTACAAGAGAATCACAGGAAGAAACACCCTCTTTTTCTCTGGACCTTGAGGAAGGCAGATTTTGCCATGGGAAAAGTCAGTGTAAGGACGAATCCAACAAACAGAGGAATAACAAACAGTCTTGGCAGGCAGGATTAAGTTAAACCTGAAGCGTTCTCTGCTCTGGAATTCCGTTATGTGGACCCGTGAATTCCCAGTTACTGAACCAGTAAAAAATTAGTTCAGTCTGAGTTTCTGTTACTTTCAAGCAAAAGTATCCTAACTGCAAAGGTGAGTTATTTTTTATTTTATTTCACTTTTTAAATATTTTAAAGCTGGAAAAGTGATAAGCACATGGTAAAATTTAAGCAATATGAAAGGACAAAGTAAATGTTCATCTCATTTCAAACATTATTCACTTCCCTAGAGTCAACCACAAGTAAAGTTTCACAATGGATGTGTGTGTTCTAGTTTCTACTCAAATAGAAGCACAATATACACATTGTTCTATATCTTGCTTTTTATTATTTATGTATCTTGAAGATCATTAAAATCATATATATAGATTTATCTCATTCTTTTTAAAGGCTGTACAGTATTGTGTGAAAATACCGTAATTCAAAAAAAAAAAGAAAATACTGTAATTCCTTTCATCGATTCTACTTTTTGTCACTATAAATAATGATGGCATGGTCATGCTTAAATTTACATATTTGAATAAAGATGTAAGTATAAACTTGAGGATAAATTCCTAGAAATTGGATAGCTGGTTCAAAAAGTATATGCATTTTATATTTTAATAGATATTACCAAAATGGATAAAAGGAATTTTGGTAATAGCTATTAAATTATTTTTCTCCTGTTTATTGATCTAAAATTTGATATCATAATAAAATAGATTGTTTTTCCTTGTGCTCAAAATTATGCTGTATTTTAGATTGATTAATATTTGAACCACAACTTTATTTCTGTTTTTTTTTGTTTTTTTCTAGAATTTATAATTGCCTTTTCCCCCCTAAGAAAAGTAGCATGCCTTCTTCAGCATGCTCAAATATCTTCCAACACCTTATTTATTCTATCTGTGACATAGAATCTGTGCCTTTCTTATGACAGATATTCTTTTTTTGGTCCCCACTGAATTCTTGTTCTATTTTGGAAAGATATTTCTAGGCCTGCAGCACTCCAGTCATTTGGTATTTCTGCTCATTGATCACTGGGTTAGGTCCATGTTTTCTGTATTGCAGGTCATTTTCTTTCTGATTTTCTTCCCTCTTATTTTTTCTCAAATAAATACATCAAGTAACTTCTAAGAAAGGAAGTTCCTGAGTCCTTGGCTATTGTTATCTTGTTCTGTTGACCAATTGACAGTTTGACTCCAAGTTTCCAACCCCAGAATATCTCTGAGGGTTTACTAGACAGATAACTCCTATGGTCCTCCCGATGGTATCTGGCTTGTGGCTTCCTTCCCTCTGTTCAATCCATCACATGGTTGCATCTCTTTTCTGACGTCCCTAAAAAAAAAAATCTTCATCTGTTAGTGATTCTCATCTTATTCTTTTCATTCTTGGGATTTCATTTCCTTTTTTTTGATTTTTGTTCCTTTACTTTCATTTTAATTGCAGCCAGATCAAACACATGTGCACCGTCTGCCATTCAAGTGGGAAGCCTCTCCTTAATTTTTAGAGTCTCAGAATAATTGTGTTGGTTGTCATCATGCAGAATAATTTACCTGCCTACTTTTTCTAGCTCATGGTGAGATCTAACCTCTTATATAATTATAAGAAAGTGAGCTATTTAGGTGGGAATGAAATGTCACCTTTCAGAAATATTAGTTACATAGCACTTCAGGGTGGTTTTAAAGTACCAGCACAGACATTATAGGAATCCAGTTGTCTATTTACTACCAAAGCATTTAAGGGAATGAAGCAAACAATGAATGGGTATTCCTATTAAGCATTGGTAACAGCCTGAACTTTTTGTAGGCTGTTGGAGTGTGACTCAGAATGGAGTCATACTAGTCTGGAATTAAGTGGGTGTGAGTGAAATGAAATGATGCATTATTCATATTTTCTTACTAGCAATTCATTATAAACATATAACCTATAAGCAGTGTTGTGCTAGTAAGTTTTTAATAGCCAACTCTACAGGGGTAAAAAGTGTGTGTGTGTGTGTGTGTGTGTGTGTGTGCGCGCGCGCGCACGTATTTAGTATTAATTTTATAATATAAAAGATGTGTGGCATACAATTTACAAATAATATAACATATACAATATTTATTATAACTCCCATATAGTCAATGGATTCTTACAGAATTATTTTGTTGACTTTTGCCAAGCTTTTGTATCTGTAGCCAACATATGGTTGCAATTGAACTATGATTTGACAAATGGAGTTACATCCTAATATGCTAACTCTTTTCCTAATAAATCTATTGTCATTATACCTGACATATGTAGTCAATCTTTTTATGACCAGCTTGAAAAATTCCTGAAAATTTAAGTTATCTCTTGCAAACTGGCACAAGCCAACTCCAATACACCACTGCCTATAAATTCCACTTCTCCAACCTAGGGCTTAAAAGGAGAACCACTCTATTTTTGTTTTTCAAATAATACCCCTCCGATATCATTAAAAAATGTCTTTCTTCTCTGTAAGCCCCTATTTCTAACCAATGCCCATCTCCCACCATAAGAAATCCATATACATTAGGGACTGGGCAGTTAGCTTTACTTACCTCCAGAAGAGACACTAGAAATCAGCCGGTCAACTAAGGTGTCATATTGGGCTAGGGCTAGGCTGTTGCTGGCATCACAGCCACATGGTGGCGCAATTGAAACACAAGAATTGCAGTTGCCTCAATACCCCCTCCACACACTCTCCACCCCCACCTCACCCTACACCCACCCCGGGCTTGGCCCCCAGTCATGCAGAACTTTATAGTGAATCCGCCTACATCTCCTCTAAACACATAGCATCCCTCTCCCCTTTCACACACTTTTCCTTTCAGTGCAGGAAATTCCATCACTGTCAACAAGCCCATGAGCTTTCTGCTTGCCTAGAAGTTATATAACAAGACCTTCCTGTTTCATCTGTCTGGGTAGATGACCTACTTGTTGGCCTCTAGTTTTTAAAACCTGTTATCCATGTCTCCAGGGGCCTCCCTGTCTCAGATTTACCTGTGATGCAGGTAAATCTTTGAATACCAGTCCAGGGCCTGGAGAAGTTCAAGGCCTTTTTATAATATGTATGTCCTTCTTTATTTGTGTTTTTCTATTTTTTCACTGCCCACTGTATCCACAGGGCCTGCTAGGTTATGTTCCACTTTGGACCCCAAGGGGAAAACTCCATTCTTTGTCATTTTTTCATAAGAAATCCAACAAAAGTCAGGGTTTTTGTGTTTGAGCAACTTCATTGAAATGTTCTCAATTTTATATAAATATCCCTTGGATGGGCTCTGATTTACCTAGTTTGCATCATGTGCCTAACTCCAGGCCAGTGTATGGTTAGGAGGATGGGATAGTATGACCTAGTATATCACATCACAACTTCAATGTTGCAGGAGTATGATTGGCAGCTCAAAATTGCAAGGAGTGAGGGAAGTGAAATACTCCAAAGAAAGTAAGGAAATGTTACCGAAAGATGAAAGACAGAAATGTGGAAAGAACAAAGGCAACAAAAATCCACCTTTGGTAGAAATTTGACTTTTCCTCATAGTTAGTTCTCTCTTTTTGGATGTTTTTATCATTCCTAGAGAACAACAGGGAAAAGTATGCTTTGTGGGAAAGAACTGTAAAGTGAAAGCATGGTTAGCATAAAGTAATGCTGAAGGATATTATTTGAAGCATTCCTTTGAAATATTAGCTTCTCTATTATGAAGCATAGATTTTTGTTCAATTAGTATTCTCCAAGTAAGGCACAATTTTTGCACGCTTTCAAATCCTTTGACATGTGGTATTACTTTAAGTTTTTGTTTAATGTGATATAATTTAGGACCTTCAGTGGAAACATTAAATCAGAAGATGCCTCCTACTAGTTAGGTAGAAGCAAAAAATTCAAAATAATCTCAGTGCTATTTACTCACCCCACTATTCCAGCTCTACAAGTTTGTGTCGTAGAGGCTTTTTCATCTCTAAAAATTCATATCTAAACATGAGAATTAGGTCTTGGACTGTGAGCTGTTACATAAGGAGAAGCATTAATAAAGGAGTCCCTTTGTCATACTGAGTTTCTGGAATGCCTCTTGCTGTTTGATCGTCTTCCCATAGGAAGACTATCTTGTATTCTGGGGTCTTTGTAGCATGTGCATTCTCTTTTAAAAAGGGTTTAGAATAGCAGACTTCAACCTGGGCACTCATACTCCTAGGGGACATGAAGACTTTCCAAAAACACATCGTGATTGGATAGTTTTAAGGCAACCTACTTTCAGATTCTCAGCTCCTGAGTCCTGCCAGTACCCCCCTTTCATGTTCATCCTTCTCCCCTCACACAGAAGAGAGACATCTCTCTCCCAACCTGAATCTTGTCTTGGTGCGTTGCTCCAGGCTACAAAAATCTTGGAGGCAATTCAAAAGGAATGATTAAATGTGTACTGCCTCTGAAGAAGAATTCTCCCATTCCCCACCTAAAAATGAAGCCAAGAGAGAGCCTCAGTAAAAAGTACTCAATTTCTTATTGATGGCAACTAAATGGTGTTTGTAGCATTTTTATCACACAGTAGATTCCATGCATTCACTATACTTTTCTAACTTAGTTGTCCTACATGCAAGTACATGTTTTTAATGTTGTCTGTCTTCTGTGCTGTTCCTGTAAGTTTGCTATTAAAATACATTAAACTATAAAAAAAAAAAAGTACTCAAGTCTTATTTTATCTAGGCAGCCAACTCTTGGCAAGTCTCCAAGCCTTCTCTCTGTATCTCTCTCTGTGTCATTCAGGTGGAATTAGGATTCAGAATATATTATCCCAATCGTTTAAATTTTAAAATGATAGACATTCAGTCTGATTTAGCTGATGAAGATTGGGTTAACAATAATTATATGGTGGACTTTTTTAATAAACTGAATGAGCCCCAAGGATTTGATAAAAACAAAGTTGGAGTATATATTCAGATTACAATACACCAGGAAGTACATTCTCTGCAATGATTTAAAGTTAAAGATAAACCATCTTTAGATATCAATGTAAAATTTTCAAGGGACCCTATGTTTTCCAGAATTCTTTCAGAATTACATATGCAAATAATTTTGAAGACCCCTGGTCTAAAGAACCAGGAAATCACCTCAGACAATTTAAA